TCAAAATACCCCAAGATTTTTATGCTTGATGCATCAAATTCATAATTTGAGATTACTCTTAATTTAGACCTAGCAATTTGTTCCCATAAATTTCTTGGAATTAAAATATCTTCACTACCAGTGTCAATTTGCATACATTAAATTACACCATTTTGTTGAATTTAACCAATGAATGTAGTGATAAAATTTAGGTACCTCCATGAAATCACTAAAAAAAGAGCGTAGCATGAATAAAAAGGGCGTTAAATTTGATATAAATAATTTTTTATTGTCTAAATGTTTATGTTATTATTAAGAGGAAAGATCAAAGTATTTTGGGGGTATTTTTTACATTTTTTAATCGTTCCTAGCATGTCTGAAATGTTCCTTCTTTTTGAGTCAGCAAAATTGACAGATAATCAATCATGTCAACCATTTTTTCCATTTTATAAAAAAATGAAAATCTCTGTTTAAAATTCTTTTAAAAATCAATTATAATTTTTAAAAATATATTTAAAGAAATTATAAAGTTTATTTAAAATATTTTGAAACAAACATTACTTACTTTCTGCACTGAAAAAAATGTAGTTTAAAAATAAGACAAAGCAGGTCTTAACATTTGTTAAGTATCATGTATTGACTGCTTATGTAAGGGAAAGTTACCATACGAAAGGATAGATGTGACATAATTATTTAGCTTTAAGTGAAACAATTTATTTACCTCATTATTTTTAAGGAAAACTTTCAGTACTCTAATTTTTTTTTTAGCTTTTTTGTAATTAGCTTTCACCTTTACGTTTACAATGCTTTATGGAAAATATATTATAAAAAAATTAAAATAAAACTGTTGAGAGTGAGATAAAAAAAAAAGGTATCTAATTAATTTATCTAATTTACCTTTCTTATGAAATTTTATCCGAAGTGTACATAAAATAATATAATTTTATGTACATTTATTACATTTTACTGTGTTATTTGTATTTCTGTTTATTTTATTATTAATTTTGATATTTCATTTATGGAAAAATGTCATAATTGAGATAAAAATAAGATGTCATAATTGAAATAAAAATAAGATTATATAAATTTATAGGTACCCTTCTCAGTTGAAATTGAAATATCAAATTAACTTCTCCATGCAGGTTTCACATGAACAATTTGCAAAAATAAAGGCCGTAACAGAGGGGAACAATGCTTATAGTAACTGAAATAATGTGACGTTTTATTGTTTTCATGTACAGTCTTCTGTACATTTGAATTACAAACATTTTATGTACACAAAAGCCATGCAAAATTGGATTTTTAATACACTGGTGGTCCGTTGATTGTAATAAGCTTTACAATTTATAATCTGTAAAGATAGATCTACTTAATAACACCATTGACTAAACTAAGCACTGTTTTTACTAATTTTATAATATTTAACAACTTTAATGTAAAAATAATAAAATAATTTAAGAAATAACAAATAATTGTTTTAAAAATTCATTTTTCATTGAAAAAGTTTTTTGCTTTCAGACAATATTACCCATATTCATAAAAACAACTAAAAGAATTTGAAATTAAATAATATCTTTGTTTTATTGAGTTCTGTATGTTACAATTCAGAGCTGATTTTCAGGTAGAGGTGGTCCAATTAAAAAAACAAAAAAACATGATTTGCTTTCCTTAAAGCTATGATAATATAATCACTAAATTGAGCGGTATTGAATTTCTAGAGTTTTCATAAAATTAGTTTTAGTGGGAGTAATAAATATAAAAAAATATTTTTGACATGACTTTAAAAAAAGAAAACATATTTATAATAATTTCTAACATTTGTGAATAGTTTCTGAAAATTTCATTAACATCCAACAATTATTTTTATTTTTGCAAGATTTTCCAAATTAATGTCTGTCATACAAAAAAAACACACTAAAATTTTATGTTATTTAGTAGTTTTGCTGATACAAAGAGAAACAAGGTTTTTCTAATCAAAAGGTAGAATGTTCTAAAAAGATGGAAAAATTTTAAAAAATAATTAAAAAATACATTGTTCTTTCCTCTTAATAATAACATAAACATTTAGACAATAAAAATTTGGTTTTCATCAATTTTGGGGTCTTTTTTTATCATGCTATGCTCATTTTTAGCAATCTCATGGAGGTACCTAAGTTAATTTTTTTAGCTCTTGCTGTATAAAGTCAACATGAATTCAATGATATTTTACACAATTGTAATTTTTTCACATTCAACATTTTCTTTCTATGAAAAGTGTTGTATGTACCTTCTATAGATATTTCATTTTTCAAAACCTTTCAAATTGACAGTAGCTGCTGGTATCTCTGAGCCAATGTAAAAACTTGATTCATTAGCCTCTTGTTTTAAGGACTTGAACTTGGTTAACTCTACAACAACCAATTTCATTTTTTATTTAATATTTTTCTTGATTATCACACTAATTTCCTTGAATGTTAAGTATTCTAATTTTTGTCATTAATGTGATATTCATGATTGCTTCCCACCCTAGCATAGCTAAAATAAATCAGTGATTTCATTTTTACCTCCACTTACTTTGTTATCTTTTAATTTTTTTGGTCTCCTATTGGCTTCAAAATATTTCAACAAAGTCAGATTTGTAATAAAGATCATATCAGTGATGCCATTGTTGTGAAGTGTGTGATTTATGGTCTCTTAATAGACTGACCTTTTCTCAGCAGTAGAAGGACTATGTTCATATGTAAATGAAGCATAATTTATTTCAATATCACTCCATGTGGGAAAAGAACCCAGAGAAGTGGTTGTTGCTTCAAATAAAAGCACAGCATATGTGAAGGACACTTGACATTTTTGATGTTTCAATAACATGAACAAATAAAATTTAAAAAATGAATAAAATAAATAACATACAATAAATAAACAACATTTAATAGACTAGATAAACTCAAGAACAGGACAACAAATAACCTAAAAGAATAGACCTAAAGAAAAATTCTAGGAAAAAAACATTTTTCCCTTTCCTCATTTCCCATAAGCTGCCAGTGGCCTATATATCTTACACAAAGATTGACACATGGTTTGATGATAACTTAAGCATGAAACTGACAGTGATACACGCACACACACACACACACATATATATATATATATACACTTAAATGCTTACAGCAGGCCATGGTACATTAAAGTGACCCCATAGGCTGAATCTGTTTTCTAGATTTAACATTCATTACTACATTGGCCCAAAAGACTATCAATTATTTTTAGGGAATATTTATAACCAAATTCTATTAGAGCTTTTATCCAAAGTTCATTGCTAAAATAAAAGTAGCATGTCATTGAAAAAACTGGATTTTTTATATTTATAGAATTGACTAAAGTAGGCACACAATTTTCACTCTAAATGCCACTTCCTTTAGCCTAAAATAACAATTTTTTTCACATTGCTTATAATCAGCCAATCATACTAGTTTTCTTCATTTTGTACAATTTTGTAGTCCAATAACAAGAATTTTCTGTCCAAACAGCTGAAAATAAAGTTCCTCCCCACATTAAACTCACACTACCACTCCAGACTTTCTTTAACAAGAGCTTAGCTGGAGGAAAATAAAATGTTTAAAATTGTTCAACAAAAGCAGAAACAGGAAAATAAGATGTAAATGACATAAGCTTAAGGTAAAAATGGGTGGAAAAAGCTTAGGTTTTTAAATAATTGTGCACATCATGTAAGCAAAAGAACTAAACAAAAGAATAACAACAAATAGTAAAATAAAAATACAATTCTCCAAAACAAATTTGAAAAAATACTATCACTTGAAGTAATAAGAGTTGCTGCCAAGTCTTTACTGAAAAAAAAAAACATTTCATTCTAAAAGACGGATTGTTAGCCTAAAACAAATTTTGATCAACATAAATAGCATTTAGCTTTAGACTCATACAAAAACAATCTTCTGAGTTCTTCTGGCATTCACTTTCCCTTCCTTCAAATAAAAATTTGGAAAAGCAAAAAGAATCAACTTTACAAAGATTATACTTAGACTAAATTACTTGTTACCAGAAATTGTATACCCACTCATAAAATCATTTACAAATCAAAGAATGCACTTACCAGGCTCACTTGGTATTTTGTCAAAAGTTTTGAAGTGTAAAAATATTTTATTCCTTGTAACCAGCATGCTAATTTTTTCAGGTGTTTGTCACTGTACTTGGTATCCTTTTTGGAACACTGAAAACGAACACTTTATTCAATTCACAGGAGTAATTTGATCTCATTCCACTTTCTATGATTAGAGGAGATAACTTGTATCTTAATACTCACCAGTCCTACTCACCTTTGATTTGCTTATCTGTTTCTTCCACTGAATAAAAATATGTGATTTTTTCACTACTACCAAGCCCAAGGATTAAACTCACAATTGCCATAAAACAAGATATGTTTTGTAGTGAACAAGATCTAGATTTAAAATTCAAATGCTAAGCACTGACTCATTGATTTTGTTAGAAATTAAAAAGACTTGAATTTACAAACTTTGCTTAACACACACACAAAAATGAATCCAAAACAAAACTTGTGAAATTTCACACCTTGATGCAAAATGTTTTTTGGCCAATAGAAAACTAGGAAACATTTAAAAACAAAATTCAATTCTCAGAAACATTATTTTATGAACCTTTTTGCAAGCCAACGCAAAATTTTGTTCATCATCCAATGGAAAGACTCAAATCATATCCGGTAGTGAATTTCCAAATGACATTTTCAAGTCCCACAAACAAAATAAAAGATGGGCAAAGATGCCTGTCACCAGAGAGAAAAGGAGATGAGCGTATTAACGTCAATTGACTGTTATAATTATCTCTACCTTTCTCCATCACCTTTTTTATACTTGATAAATGAAAGGAACATTTAAGACTGAGCAATTACTTCAAAGCTAGACAACAATTTCACTGCTGATCTCAAGAGTGCTATTTTTTGCCAATCAAACCTGAACCTGAGAATTTAACATTAAAACATAAGAGTTTAAATACCAAACATAATGATTCACCTGATCCAGCTCCTTCTTCTGACGACATCTTTCTACATCAGCATCCATGATGATTTTTTTCAATTTCCTCTTCTCAGCCTCTTGGGTGTTAATGTAGGCATCTGTTTCAGCAGCTTTGATTTTCATCTTCTGAAGTTCAACTTTAAGTGCATCTTTCTCTTTTTCCACTCTTAGTCGAGCTGTGTGTTCTTGAACCAGCCCACTCTCTTTGGATTGGATTTCCTCTTTCAGTTGATCAATTTGATGATTCATGATTTTCAATTTACGCTTCTTTTCTGTAATTTCATCCTGAAATTAACAGGAAAAAATAATTTTTCAACTAAATTTTAGCATGTAAAATTACTAACACTTAGAGAAAATATTTTATGTTATAGAATTTCTTTTGTAACCATCAGTTATCACAATTCAGCAAGTGAAATATATTTTGAACTCTTATAAGGTCATAATTAAATAAGCTCAGAAACTATGAACATCTCAAAACTTTTTTCTTTTTTACGTATAACAAGAGTGATGAAATTTACTAAGAAATGATTAAGTTTTTTTTTCTCTAGGATCCTGTCAAGAAGGAAAAAGCAAAGCACTAAAAAGGAATTATCTCAAAAAGAAGAATATAAAGGAATCACATAAACCAATATGTAGCAAAGAATCAATTGAATAACAATCTTTTGAATGTACCATCTAACTATTACTACTTTTGGCAAAAACAATTTAAAGTACAAATATTAAATATTCATTAAGGGATTTTGAGATCCTGACTCAGTGTTGATTGATGCTTATAAAATTATGTTCATTGTTACTTACTAGTCTTATAATTTTTCCAAGTGAACAAAAAGAACATGGAATTTCTGAAATTCTAACTTGAAAATCTGCCAAAAGCCTCTAAAACTTTCAATAACAATGAAAGCATGTTAAGTGAGAATAAGTCTTCTATCCCTCCTCTCTTCCCTCAACTTGAGATATTAACATTCTCTGCTTCAAATTCTACTCTTTGCCATTGCCACTAATTTCTGGTAAATTCAATGGATTCTTTAACTACTGATCTCAATCAGGGTCACCTCAGGGATCTATCACCCTTTAACATCTATTGTGTCTCATCTCAACAAATTAGAACAACTTTGAAAAGTATTAAATTAAGGAGCTAAGCCAGTATACTTGATGACAAAGAGGAGTATGCAATCACAAGTCACCAGGAGAAATCAAGAGATGCTGCTCCTAGTGATAAGTGTCAATATATGAAATTAAACTCAATAATATTAGTTATATCCTGATCACACTAATAATATTAATATTTCTTCTTGCCTGTGCGTAATTCAAGTAAGTGATAAAATTTAGTTTATCCTTCTTACCCAATCAACAGAAAAAGAATATATTTTCCTTTCTAATGCACCCACACCTGCAATTGCGATTCAACTATTCCTCTTCATTCTGTTTAAGACAAACACCCACATTAATTTATGCATTGTTAGAACTGCCTTGCTTGGCTCTTATAATAAGCATCAATATTTTTTCATCTTCAATTTTTAAATTAAAATTTTTAAATATTTATCTTCATTTTCATAGTAAAAATAATCAAACTCTGCTTCTAAAAATGAGAAATTTTTTCTTAATTTATGACAAAAAAATATGTTCTTAATACAGAAATGTTTGCAAAAATAATTATAAAAGCTGTAAGTTTTAGACATCAGAAATTTTGAGCTGAAAAAAGAAATGTTTTATTTCTTGGTTAGCATCCAGTAACTTTTCCAGCATTCAAATTTTAAGTAGCAATATGCTAACAATTATTGAAATCTTTAATTACTTACTTGACATTCAATCAGATGTTTGCTATACAGGTTCCTATCACTGCGAACTGCTTCATAAAGATTTTGTTGTTGTTTCAACTTTGTCTCCGCTTCAGCAATTTTCTTCTTAAAATCAAAAATTTGCATTTCTCTCATCTTAACATCTTCCATCAATTGTAGAACCTAGAAAATTTAAACAATTCTACACAAAATGATACAAAAATATTTATATCCTGAAAGAACTGCAAAGAAAGACACATTCAAATATCTGTTCAAATAAAAATAAGAAAAAACTTTAGGAAGGAAAACTGATTGAAACAGTTGTTTATGTGAAAACAGTTAAAATGTAAAGTTTTTACACATTTTTCTAGAATTCAGATTATTTTGTATTAATTTAATTCCCAAAATTCATAAGTTAAAAATAAATTTCTATCTGAATTTCTGGAATGAGGAGTTATGATTATTTACACATGGACTATTATTATCTTTGTCCTTTTTTGCTATCATAAAGATTCTGCCATTGTGCCCTCCAGCCTTCATCAGGTACATGCTGATAACTTTATTTAATCTAGAAGGGTATTTTTTTTCTCATTCTGCTGCTCATATTTAAAGATATCTTGTTTAGTTTTTATTTAGTACAACTCAATTATTGCTTGCCTCATTTCCACTGAGTCCAAGTACATACTGCCTGGCCCAGGGATTGAGCTTGCAATTGCTATTTCATAAAATTCATGAACCGATGCTTTAATACATTATACTATCATCCCGTGAACTTAAAAATAAATGTTACTGTAATAAAACATACTATTAAATAAAAGATACTACCTCACCTATTTCCCTAATTTGGATTGTTCTGTATTTAGAACATCTTCATTTCTATTCCTTTCTGTATTTGCCAGGAAATCATATGACAAATTAATGTACACTTTAAATCAAGTTAAAATTTGACTTTCTTACTTAAATTCTCTAAAGGAATCAATATAACAGGTATTGACATCTAATCAGGTGGTTCCTAATAACACAAATGTAGCAGGTGACTGCTAAACACTAGGAAGATTCTGACATACTAATCTTCTGAAATAGGCCTGTCTTCTAGCTTACCTTGAAAATCAGTGTTTAAATGTCTTGCTTTTTCTCCTTAACTAATCAAAGGTTTTAGATGCAAACCAAGTAGATACAAAGATAGATTTGCAACAATCACATATATAACATTTATAAAAACATATCCACCAAAAACTAAATATGGATACATTAGAATACATTAATATTTTGCTCTAAAACCAATTAAAGATATGATGGCTCACATTGATACTTATTTGTACTGTAATAACAATTCTATTAAAGGCAAAAACAAAAGTTTCCAATATTAGTTGACTAAAACTTTTCTTCATATAAATTCCCAGCATCATTTTTAAGTCATGGAACAAAACAAATAACAGTCTGAAAGTGATTAATCTAAAGAATAACTGTATGTAGAAGAACTCTCCCCTTACCGCAGCTCCAAGCTTTATCATGTTTTCAACAAACTATTAAAGTCTTTAAGAACTCAGGCAAACCATTTGTTCCTTCTAACTACTGATTTACTAGCCTTCTACATCTTTTTGGCAAAGTACTAGACATGTAAACTCTGAATTGGTTAAGCATCTCACCTCACAGGATCTTCTTTCAGACAAACAATACAGATTTTGCTTCTCTAGATCAACTGCTGAAAATTGCTGAAAGAGTCTATCAAGCTTTAGATAAGAATGGTTAATTTATGGCTGATACTTTAGATATCTCAAAGACATTTGACTGGTTTGGCATACTGGTTTTCTTTACAAGTTGAAAGGATATGGTATTTCAGAACAAATTCTTAATCTCATTCAATCTTTCTTATCAAATCACGAAATGACAGTTGTCTTGAATAGCCACTCTTCTAGATCATTTTTCATTAATGCGAGTGTGCCTCAGTGCTCTATCCTTGGACCTTTGGTGTTCCTAATTTTCATCAATAACCTTCCCAATATCATCAGTATCTAAGCTAATGACAAAACTATTTACTCTTGTCTTAATGGTAAGTCTGATCAGTACAATATAGTCAAATTGGCAGCTGATCTTAAAAATGATCTACAATCTGGTAAAGAATGGCTTGTTAATTTTCATGCTTCTAAAATGAAACTTCTCTCTATTAATCATCTGAGAGATCCTTTTTTACCTTTCATCAGCATCATTGATCTTAACATCCAGGTGAGTGACTCATTACACCTTCTTGGACTAACATTCCCTTCTGAAGTGAAGTAGAAAGATTATTGAATAAATTGCTTCATCTGCTGCTTAGAAAGTTGGTTCACTGTTGTGCTGGACAATTTTTCTCGCCAGAATCAATCTTACATATTTATAAGTCCACCATTCGTCCATACTTTGAATGTTGCTGCCACATATGGTTTGCTGCTTCTGTTATATATTTAAAGATTCTTAATAAAATACAAAGAATCTGTAATGCTATTGGTCCTGTTCTAGTATCTCAGCTTCAATCCCTTTCCCATTGCTGTAACATAGCTTCCCTGTGCCTTTTCTATAAATATTTTTGTGGTAATTGCTCTGATGAACTTTCCACTATGGTACCTAGACTAGCAACAAGGTTTCATCAATTTACAGTTGAATTGGCTAGATGCAACCATAAGTTCTATGCTAACAGTTTCTTCTCTTGCTCTTTTTTCTTGTGGAACTCTCTTTCAGCCAATTTGGATCTTCAAAAATGTAAATGCCATGTCAATAGTTATCTTCTATTTTCTTAATTCCTATTCTTCTATTATTTTTAATATTTTTCTTTTTTCATATTCTTTCACAATCATCTTAGTAGTTTTATTTCCTGTAATGGGATTGGTTTAGCCAATAGATAATTAGCATAAAGAGAGCTATAAGTCTACAGGCAACTTTTGAGTCAGTGTATGTAGAATATCTACAACTACTAAGTTTGATCATTATAACCAAATGATATCGCCTGATGGAGCTCTGTAGAATACAGAAGAACCTGAAAACATAAAGATTTGGATAAAATACTTTGAGGCATGTGACAGAATAAAGATGTTACAAGATAACCAAACACCTGAAGGACAGAAAGAAATTATGACTTACCCAACTGAAATTGAAAACCAGAAATAATATTGAGAAATATTTAACCAAAGAAAAAAGTGGTCATAGTTGAACAAACCAAATTCTTAGCATTAAAACAGAAAATTTACCGGTCATCAAAAATGAACAATCTTTAACCTCTTCAAAAAAATTACCTGTGTATAGTGCAACTCCCTATCATAAAAACTTACACTATACTCGAGTATAGACAACAACTGTTTTAAGTAATGCAATTATTTCTGCATCTTTGCTGTAAATTGATGTACAATTAGTAATGCATTGTGAGTATTGGGATATTTACATTCATGATTTAATTTTTGCCCTCAGACATCAACTCAAACAAAATCCTATGAATTGGAGTTGTTTTTTATTTTTCCCTACAACATAAGATAAACTTCATTTTGCTTTCAGTTTTCTCATCCAATAAAAAAAAATTCATCATCTACGATTTTCAAGAAAAAGATTTTCTTTGATTATTCAAGTTTTTCATTTTCTTACATGAGTAGCAATGTTTTATCATCCCAAAGAGTTCCCTTAAGAAAAGAAGACTTAATCTTGTGTGATCAGAATTCATATATTCAAAACAGCAGTAAAGTATATATAGATAAGTAACGGCATGTGAAAGAGTAGAGTTTCTATCACTGACAATCTGGTGAAAATACTGGTGAAATTAAAATGCATTTGAATGAAGGAAAACTTATATATTCATTTCAAATATACATGCTATAACCATACTGAAATTGGAAATCTCAGTATTATCTTAACATTATGTATTGTTATATTTTAGGGTTCATATATATATATATATATATATATATATATATTTGTATCTATAAGGTATGCACTAAGAGAAAATGTACATGACAATTTGTGTATAAAATACTGATATGAGGTAAAATATACAGACATATATATATATATATATATTTCTAGCTAATATAATGCTACACTTATTAGGGGTTTGTGATATGTTGCTAGTGCACAATCTAATTTCAGTAGCTGTGATTACAAGTTATTCTTGGTGCTGTCCAGAATAAGACAATCTTGAAACTACGTACTTTGAAAAAGATGTAACATATTAATGGTTATACAATGCATAAAAATTAAACAAGCAAATTTTTGAATGAAACTAAAGACAGATTTTTTTTTAATAACAAATAACCATTTATTGATGTTTTCTAAACTGTGTGGTGTGTTTAATAAAACCTTTAAAAAAGGAAAAGTTCACTTACACACATTGAGGTGTGTTTAATAAAAACCTTGAGATAAAGGCAAAAGTTGGTACTTAACTTTGTTGGAGAATCTATATTAGCAAAGCGAGGAAATGTCAATTTAGCTGATAAGTGATCTATCTGAGTTCACAACATGTAAATCTCCTTCTCTCTGACTCTTCCTTTTTTATCTTTGGTATTTATAGTGTTCAAATAGCAGGTGCTAGTTCACAATAAAGCCTTTCAAAAATGCGAAGGAAGCACTATCAGTGGTCGAATAATAATATGAATTTTATTTTCGAATATTTTAAAATGCTGCCAGACATGGAACTTGAAACCTATGTGCAAATGTCTGATTTTGGTCATTCGACTCCTGACAAATTCCAGTCAACCCAACACACTATGTTATCAAAACAGCAGAAAAAAAATAGTATTCAGTCTTCTTCTTATCTTTGCCTTCTTTTCCTCTTTTACCAATAACTTTTTCAAACTTTCATGTGTGTCTAGTACACAAACACACACACACACACACACACACACACACACACACACACACACACACACACACACAAAATGAAGCTAACAATACTGGAAACATTATTAAGGATCTCAAATTATCCCTAGCTTATGAAACGCAGTAGCCACTGAGGTCAACATCAAAATATTTCAATAGTCTATGTCAACACAAAAGCAGTTTCCACTTTTCTTTCATTGTTTTTCTTGATAACAACTGTTCTGGCGAACATGCACTGAGCTATTAATTGTTTACAGGATTGTTTACAGGATATAAAATTTATCTCCTTGACCTACTCTGAATATTACTGATATCACAGTTCCTAAAATAAATCCTAAAAAATATTTATTTTGATATTTTTTCATCAAATTTTGTCTGAGGCACAGTATCTGCATAGTAGATATTCTGACAAAATTTTCATTTTTCAACTATTTTATGATGTAGTACTTCTACCAGTGGACCACATGTATCTGATATTTAGGCACTGACACCATTCTGTGATAAAGTTCTATGTAATGAAAGAATACAAAACAAGATGGTTTCATAGTACAGAGACATGCACATGGTCTTTTTATTCAATTAAATATGTTTGAAAGAGGTCAAATGGTCATTTTAGAAAATTGTTGTGCATGTTGAATGTGACATAATTTGATGTTGGTAACAGGGATCAAATGAACATTTTTACCCCCTGTAGGCCCGATTCTGGATGTCCACATAGTACAGATGTTTGACAAGATTACAACATTATAGGGGCAGTGTCCAGTAGCCCCATGTGTACAGCAGAATTAGAGGCAATGTATAGAGTGTACTAATATTTGAACTGAATACTGTTGATTACTATTTTTGTTGATCACAAATGCAATATGCTGATTTGTTGATCAGAAATATAGATCAATATGTGCACAGGTTTCAACTAATACACATATTGATCTGTATTTGTGATCATTTACTGTAAAACAGCAGGTATATTTTCTGTAAGTAAATTGAATCACATATTTAGGCAGTCGCAATTTTATTTTCTGTTAGTATAATAATATATATATATATATATATATATATATATATATAGTAAAGGTAATAAATCTGTTGCTATATAATCCAAGTGGATCCTAGTAATATAAAATATTAAAACTGATCCACAAAAAGGGCTCAATGTATTTATTATTACAGAGCAAAAATTAATACACAATAAAATCCCAAATCACCTCATATGGGGAATAAGCTTATTTCAACTGAAGAAAATATAATTTGTCAGTCTCATGAACCCCAGTGTAGACTGAGTTTATGTTGAAAATAGAAATTTAACTGTGGAAGCTACAAAAAAAAAACTGTCGAAAGGCTAATACAGAATTTATCCATTTCAATGTTTCAGCCAGACAAAAGGCATGAGACAGTGGTCAGGGGAGGGTGGAAAGTATGTGTCTTAAAGGGAAAGTGTTTTATAGAATTAAACCCGGATATTAACCATATTACATTAAATTGGGGTTATATGGAGAATGAAATGCTAATTAAAGACTAAGTGAGGAATAAAAAGTAGTTTAAAAATAAGAGATATTTAAGTTATATTTTTTAAAATGTCATATTTAAATAATATATATTTAAAACAAAAAAAATTTATTTAAAAATAAGTTATATTTAATATAAAATCAATAGGTTATATTTAAAAATAAAAATATATTTAAAATAAAAATTTAAAATAAAATATAAAATAAAATATATATTTAAAAATAAAAATATATAATGAAATAAAAATAAAATAAAAGAGTTATATTTAAAAATAAGATATATCTAAAATCAAGTTATATTTAAAAATATAAAGTTATACTTAAAGATACAAAGTTATACTTAAAAATACAAAGTTATATTAAAAAACAACCATAAAATATATAGATAAAGAGATGTAAGTGATATAAGGAAAGAGAATTCTTAGAACAGGAGAGAATTTATAAATTATAATTAACATAGTGAAAAGATGGGAATATAGAAATTAGAGTTTGTTATACATTTGACATTTGAAGAGTTAGATAAATATAGTAGCTAATTAAGTAAGACCTATATGGAAATGGAAATTTAAATTTGTTTTTATGCTGTCATTTTAATACTAATTCATTCCTCTGATTCAATAGTTGGCTTTGCTTATTGTATTTTATTATTCTAATTTTTTCTTTTAATCATAAGTCACACCTATCTCTAAGACTATTAGGATTATGTGCAGAACCTATAATCTTCCAAACTTTCTCCTTCAATTCCCAAAATTTCTTTGAAAGAGCAGTGTGGTATTTTAATTTAGGGTTAGTAAATGAGTGCCTATGGGTATAAAATCTCTGTTTCCATTCCCCTGTGGAAATTCCAATATAAACATTATAATTTTTCATATTTTCTTTGGGGAAAATGGTTGCTTGATGTATAACCTTGGTAGATCTGCATTTGGCCTCTACTGGGCAATTTTGTTTAGATCTACAATTACAGGAGGGTTCAATACCAGGTTTGTTGTTTATCTCATAGAAATTTCTTAAAATATAGTTATTATGTGAGTTGATAATTTTATACATGTTATTGGTACAGGAGTAGCTAATTTTAATTGTTTTCCTATAGAAGATCTTACTTAGAGGGTTGTTTTTTTTAAAGTGTTTATTTATTAACTTTAGAAAATAATGTCCGATATTAATATTTGATAGTTTGCAGAAATGGGGGAGGTGAATCATATAATTTTTCTTTTTCTGTGTCTAGATTTCACTTTAGATATTTCAGTGTTACTTATTTGGGTTAGCATATATATATATATATATATATATATATATATATACTATATCACACACATTTAAGCATACATTATATTATGCAAGATAATAGTAGTAAACAAAGTACATCTATTACCTTTTGTGTTAAGTCACTTGCTTCATTAATATATCTATCTCTTTCTTTTTCAAGTTGGTAAATCAGTTTCCGCTGCTTCTGAGCTTCTTCTTTGTGGTTGCTAATCTCCTGTTCCAAATTCTTTTTGTTTTGTTCATGTAATTTCACCTGATTCAGATGTTTCTGACGCATTGTCACAGCTTTGAGAAGTTCCTGAAAAAGAAGAAAATCATGATATTTCCAGTCATACATTATTGTGAGCATCTTACCTGAATGGTTATTCATCACTATATATTTAATAGGTAATATTTATGCTATATTTCATAAACAGTAAGAATTTAGAATTATTTTGCCATCTCACCTGAGGATCACCTTGAAATTTTACATAAAATTTTAAAATAATTATCTTTGTCAATTTCATATGTAATTATATTTTTTAATTATAATTGTTTTAAATGTTAATTTCATTTGCAATTATATCAACTGTATGTTTGCTTTGGCTTGGTTAGATTTTGTCTAATGGTATTTCAATCCTGATGGGTCAGTTTACACCAACCAGGAGCAATGGTATGATAAGCCAATTAATTGTCATTTGATATAGAAGCAAGATAATGATATGAAAAAATTGACATTATCTGATGAGAACTTTATTAGTTTAGTTAAAACTTTTTAAAATAAATTTTAGCATTAATTATTGTCAGTTTTCTTTTAAAAAAAAGAAAAATTTTCTAATACTGACCTTATTTAATAAATCCCTCTTTTTTGTCAAGGTATCTACTGTTTTATGCTCCTGTTCAGCATCTTTCTTCATTTTCTCCATAGCTGAAAATAACAAAATTATCAGAGTACAAAAACACATTCTTTAGGTCCTTAGATCTTCAAGGTTTTTTCAGAAGACAAAATAATATCTAAAAAACACTATATTGAAGAAAAAAACCTTAATTTACCTATTATTCTAGTAAATATCTGTCTTTATTCCTGTTGTGATGTCTTCTAGTCTGTGACTTAGAAGTTCTACCACCATACTGAGTAATAACTATTAGTAGCTACTTGACAAAATAGGGCAAATCCATTTTGCCTATGTCACTACACCTCCCAGAAACAAAGAAGTTTTATGCCCTATGACTTCTCCAAACAATAGTATCAGATCTTATCTCTTTCTTGAGGTGTGTATCTGGTTCTTTTTATTAGGGATCTAGGTCTGAACTCATCTATATTCTGATCTTCCAACTCCATGTCAGATTCACTTTAGTTTCACTTTCTCCATCAGAAGCACTCATTCTTTCCTCCCTTTCAGGTTCCTCCTCTTCTATTTCAACTACTTTGTTGTTAATTCTAGGTCTTATTTAATAAAAATGAGACAATTAATTCTGTCTGCTTGTTGCTATTATATGCCTTTTGTGCAATAAAGTTAGCTTTTTCAGAACTTGATTCTCTATCTTTTTTGTACTGTACTTTTTCATTTATTGAATTGTACATTGTTATAAGCAATCTAATTTATTTTCCCATCAATGCAGAGGGACTTTGCATTCTACTTGCATTCTATAATTCAGTAAGAGTCTCAATAGGTATCTATGGTGTCTCTGGATGTGGAAAATACCTTCAACTCCATTTTCACTGTCTGCACCCTTCTTTCTGCAATTACATTATAGTGGTGTTTTATAAGGGAAGCATCCAATTTGTTTTAACCATGAACATAGTTTCATCACAAAATAATGGTGCATTGTCAGAAACTAACGTTTTTGGAATCTCATTTCTAGAAAATATTACTTAAATATTATTATTTGCTTTATTGGTTGCTTTCCTATCCTGAACTCTAACCATTTCAGGCCATCTGGAAAATGAGTTGACCCAAATTAAAAATAGTCCTATGCCTTTAACATACACATGATCCATATGAACACAGCCCATGGCTCTTTTTCTTTAGGCCAAGAATGTATCTTGGTTTGGGGAAAGTTTTTATTTCCCTACATTTTGGGCATTTTTGTACATATTTTTCTACATCACAAGAATAATCCTGGCTTCCAATTTTAATCATCACTGTGTTGCTGTTATTCCATAATGATCATCATCATGTACATTTTTATTATGTTTTTTCTTAATCTCTCTAGTGATATTAAAACATCTCCATTGCATATAAGATGCTTCTTATATGTAAATGTTCTAACCTTTCTATTTTCTTTTTATGTTTGCACACAGGCTGGAAATTGTTTTTCTTTTCACAATTCCAGCATACTTGTTTTCTTGTCTCATTCATGCTTTTTATAACAGTATTTGCATTGTAGCTTGTGTACATACAGTATTATTGTTTCATTCAGCTCTTGTTTACTCATAAGAAACTTTCTCTGCTCAACAGTAACCAACTTCTTTTTCATATGCAAATTTCTTTTTATAAGTCCAAAATTTGTGAAAAAGGCCAAATCCTCCAATTCTCTGGGATACACCATGAAAGAGCCCTTTCTGATGGCTTCACAGCCTGCCAAATCCTAAAAGAGATTTGTAATCTCATTCGCCCCTCAACAACTTTGTGGTCTTTTAACTTCTTGAACATGGACAGCAAAAAAATAAATCCATGTTTCTACATCGGTAATGCCATATTGTTGTGATGTCTTCTAGTCTGTGACATAGAAGTTCTACTGCTATACCGAGTGACAACTGACATATCAGTAGTTGCTCGACTCTATGCAAAATAGGGCAAGTGCATTTTACCTATGTCATTACAGTTCCTTTTTTTTATCCTTTTTGTCTGTTATATACATGTATATATAATGTAGGGCAAAGAAGGAAAGAAGAGATAGGGAAGACAAAAGATTGACTGATTATTTACTTATTAGGCAGTGGGTAGGAACTACTATGTGTGGTAGATGTGTGTGTCGGAGACTACCAAAAGAGATATAAGAGATTTGAATTTTATTTAGGATGTAATGTCTCTTTAGTAGATCCCTATTTTTATACATTTATATAAATTCTTCTCTTTCAAAATTTCCATTAATTTTAAGCATAGACACTTATTCTCCTATTCTTGTTCCAACAGATACAACTGGATTGGGAAAGATATTTACACTAATAAAATATAGCAATGTAAATCTGGTACCAGGCCACCATGTAAGGAGAGGAATTTTGCTTATAATATTTCTTAATAGTTTTTACTGTCCTGGCTAAGTTAATAGACAGACCAGTCTAAAATATTTGACAATATTCAAAATTTACTCTTTCCTTATTTACTAAAGTGCCTCACAATATATTTGGCCTATTTTTTTGTTAAGTGTTTACAAATATTGGGGAAAAGGAACAGTGAAATGTAATATGAAACTAAACAATACTTCTTCCAGTGATATTGTCTTTCAAACATTCCTATTTCCTCAATTGAAATATGGCATAAGGGATAAGTATGATCAGTTGCAAGAAATAGAGATGAATATCTCTTAGCTAAGGCCAAGGAGAAAGGAAATGTGTTGGTTATGACTGGTTGATAAACAGTCATTCTTCTAGTTAGGAAAATTAAAAGTCCTCTTAATGAGAAGGAGATTTAAAATATTTTAACATACTTGAACTGAAAATATAGTGGTATAGCCAATGAGTAACCAAAGTGTGTGAAAAAGCTTGCTCCAATAACTGTAATAGTTGCTTTGGTGGAAGTTGTTTCAGTAACATAAATGCAAAGGTATTTAGAATAGGCATTATCTAGTCCCAACCAGTGTTGTCCTGTAAGATTAAAATCCAAGTGCAGCCTGTTCAAAGGCTTTTCTCTTATCATCCAGGGATTATTACTGGCAAATTATTTGGGAATTCTTAATTATTTAAATTGACTATGTAAAGCAGTTATGTAATAAATAATTTTCTGGTCAATCTTTAATCAATAAAATGCAAACTTTTCATTATTTGCATTTCAAAATCTTCAAAATGCAGCAGGTTACTTATTCACTGTCTTTGAGTTGTTGAAACAGGTTTTTCTTGTATTTTTTGTTGTTGCCTACTGACAAAGATAGTGTTCGTTGAGAAATAACAAAATTTTTCGAAGTTGATTATTTTAGAGAAGAATAGAACCAGTCACTTCTATTCGCTATGCTATTGATGGTCTTGTTGATACTTCTTTTGCAGTCAATGGGAGACAACTCATACTTTTGTTTATGTTGTTCTCATTGGACTGGTTTCTGAGGACATTTCACATTTTTGACAATCTTGTTTGCTTTAAGGGACTGGTACTGCCATTAATATTTTCAGTGTCCATGTGGGAAAATTCATTCCATCTACTGAAATTTGACTCACAACAGCGTTAGTGATTTAATCATGATCTTTCATTGGTTTGGCTTTTCTATCAATATTGAAATCAGGCATACTTTTCTTTTAAATTTCTTCTAAATTGGTTAATCAAATGTCCATCCTCTTCTCCTTAAAAGGTGAGTGTAATACTTGACTGATTAGTTTATCTAAAACTATTATAGTCATTGCAGTGTCCCTTATTATTAAAAATTATTTCTGGATTTTAGAACATGATAGAAAGACAACCACTAATTTAAAATGAAAAAACAATTAAAATGAAAAGGAAATAAAATTAACCATTGATACACTATACTAGTCATTAAACATCCTGTTGTTTTTTAAATTGAGCATCATTCAATTCACACTAGATGGAAAATAATATTTCCAAAGTATTATATTCAAAATAGTATTGAAATTATTATGAGTCATTCAGAGTAACCCTCCTTTGAACAGGCTCCTTGGCATTGTTACAATGACTCCTGTGAGTGGCTGAAACGGAACCAATCAGAAGGCTCCTTACTAAAGTTGTGTGCCATGTTTGAATCTTTCTTTCTCTCCAACATTGGTTTTCAACAAGTAGCACATAGCTGCTCTTGGAAAAATTTCACCAACAAATCTGGAGGAACCCGGGATTGTAGTGTCTGCACCACATGAAGAAATATCTGCTGTTCAATCCTCAAGATATCCAGATGCCAAGACATCACTGCACAACAACAAGAAATCACAATACTTCAAAGAACTGTTAACAGGATGTTTCTTTTCTGTGACAAAATAAGTCTGCAAAATACCATTTTTTTTTTGCAACACCATTATTGTAAACATTTTTCCTTTTCTTCTGTTATAAAAGGTTTGAATCTCAAAAGCTTGGTTTCTGTTTTTTTCTTATGCCATGTCAGGTTACTGAATTATCCTTTTTTTCTACAGCAGTAATTACTTATCTTTTTGAACAAACTTAAACAGGTAAAATACCAACACTTTGCAAAAAAAAATATGAAGTAGCAGTTTATGTTACGAAAAACAGGGATGAGTTAATAAGGCATTTGTTTAGATATGACTCACTTGAAGAAGTTTGACAGGTGTATTATTTTGGTATCTACTAAGGACTTTGTAGCAGTTTCCTATATTCTTTTTTTCTTTCTCTTTATTACACTTGTGAAATTTAATTGCGCAAAAATCTTCTTCACTCAAAATGACCAAATTTAAAATTGCAAAAATTGTAACAGCTTTGTTGCTTAATTGTGACTCCCTTAAAAGGAAAATAACTTCAACCATAGATATGTTAGCAGAGAAGTTCTTCAAAAAACTTTACTTTGTAAATATGGACAGCCTCATAAATAAATGGTTAGCAGAGGTTGACTTAATAAATTCAAAAAATAAGTGAAGCCTGATAAAGGGCAGATATTAATATGGAAAAAGTGACCTTTTACTAGACAAATTATGAGAAATTGAATTTGTCTCTAATGTATATAGAAAAATGGCAGAAATAGAATAAAAGATTGTTTCTATCATTCACACTATAGGATTACCTCAAAATTCTAATCTGGCAAACCAAATACAAT